CTGTGCCCTGTGGTGGGTGGATCAGAGCCAGCTGGAAATGTGTTTCCAGCACAGGGCATCCCTGTCTTCTCCTCACAGAGCTACCCTGCAGTCCCTGTTGCCAGGCCACTGGCACCCAGTACACAGGTTTAAAACTACTAGTGCTATTTTAATAATAAAAGGAGCATTTTATAGGCTCAACCTAAAATCATAACCTCTATGTAAAAGATTTTCTGATCAATCACATAGGAGGAGGACTTGTATCAGACACTAAGTACTAAACGGTACTATGAGAAAAGCAGTTTAAAAAAAACCTAAACACATCTTCAGAAATGACATTATTTAGGGGGATCAAACAGCACAGGGAAGCTCACACCAAATGCTGCAACACTTGGGGTAGGCGGGAGGTGCTGCCCACTGTCAGAGACTGAAATGGTTAATGATTTATGCATTCCAGGAGTTTGCAGGCTTTTGACTTTTGCATTATACCTCAGATGGGCAGTTGGGCCCATCCCTCCCTTCAGTTCTAAGCCCTAAAAAGGCAAACAACTCCTCGTCCCAGGGAGGTGCAAAAGCATGCTGAGGGTATATAAACTGACTGGTGACTTTGGGATTTCGGGTTCTCCTTCTCCCCCACCTGTGAATCAAGACCATCGCTCTCAAGCATCGCTGGATCCAGTGGGCGGTGACTATATCCATTTCTTCTGCACTCTCAGCTTCTCTTTTCCCTTACTCTCATCCTGTTTTTTCTCTCCCCTAAGCAGTTTCTCCCCCCCAAAGGTTATCTCTATGTTGCATTGTTGTATGACAACACCCAAAACGCTAGCATACCCCGTGATACAAAATTGTTAAAATAAACTTTGTTTTCAGACACTGATTATTTAGTGTCGTTTCACTTTAATCCACCCCAAGGGAATTATTGATAAAAACCTGAGTTACCCCCCCTCCCCTTTTCCTGGGGCGGGTCATAACACCCACCCCTACACCCCTTGTGGTTTTCCAGACAGGGCAGGAACTGTGGAGGCAAACTGCTGTCCAACACGAACTCCATTTCAAACCTGTCAGACAACTGCCAATGTAATATTGTCATTTTCTCAATTATTTGAGGACACTGTTGATAAAGGCCAGTTGCAGATTATGATTTGTCAGCTCCTTCCATCCTCTCCCCCTTTTGTCCCACTTCAGATTTCTCTGGAGCAATCCCAATTCATACAGTATTGAGTACAACACAGCTCTGATGTGGGTCTGCTGGTCTGAGCCATAACACTAAGGTGAATCTTCTGATTAAAAAAAAACCAAACAAAACACAAAACAAAAACAAAACAAAAAACACAAACAAAAAAACCCAAAACGACCAAAAAATCCTATTTTCCTCAAATATAAGAACCATATTTTTGTGTATTAGCATAAACACAGTGAAACCAACCCTCATGAATAAAACACAAAGCAAACTTTGATGAATTTAAATTGCGTTAAGTTATAAAACAATTGTGGAGCTAACATTACAGCTTACATGCTGTTACAGAAAATGTTTAAGCCTTCCTCTAGTTTAATCATCATTAATGGTACAGGGAAATTATTTACTATCAAATGGGTCAGAGAATACAGAAAGGTCTTCCCAGTATTGATTTTACACATAACATTAACTTCTTCAGTTGCACTTGCAATTGCCAAGAAGGCTTAACTAATATTAACTGCCCCTGTTATTGAGCCTCAAGGAATAGCCACAGTCAGGATGTCAAAACTTATTTTTAAGGGATAAACCAAAACAGCTCAGTGCTTCATGGGCTTGACTAGAAAGTGATTAAAGTGTAACTGACTGAACTGAATTTCTGCCAGTATCAACATAAAACTTTTTTAAAAGGTCAGTCCTATGAATTATTTACTGTTCTCTCAAAGCTGTGTCAACACATCAATTTACTCTCATTCTATTTCTCCTTTACAACCCTGACTAGAATCACTCTGTAACATGCAGGATGGTGACACAAGTCTGCAATGTAGTGAGCAATGTAACAAGACTAGGTAACCACCCAAATTATTCAATGCTTTCAAGACCTAGGAAGAGCAACTTTAGCACAAGCAAAGTCCCATAAAGTGTACAGCTTCAGAGCACCCTGGAAAAGACAGGGCAGGTCTTCATCATAAAATCACTCCTGTGTAGGCATAACTCCTTCCAAAAACCTGTGCATGTGACTGCTTGGAGTAGCACCAAATAAGCTCCAGGAGGCAAAACATGCATCAAGTACTAATAATCAATATTATTATATTCTTATAACTGCAAACCTACCCATACAAGCAAACTACACTGCTTTAACTTTGAAGAATTGAACCACTAATGAAAGCTGTAAGAAGGATTCCTCAAAACTATATGTTTGAAAGACCATCTTTCCACTGTCTATAATCAGGGTATTTTGTCCCTTAGAAGCTTACAACAGACCGCCAAAGTCAGAAGTACTGGCCAAAGTCAAACTACCCCACAGAAGATACAAGTATTTAACCTAATTTTATGACCCTGTGAAGATACAAACCCCTTCTTTAGAAACAGCATTCAAGCCTAATTTGGATTATCACACTGTTAAGATGTTTAATTCTAAAATTCAAATTAAAAAAGGATTGCCCATTAGAAAGTGCTGAAAACAAAGTGTAAAAAGCCAGGTGCTGCAAACCCACTAAAACATATTCTCAAAGAAAACATAAGTAATGCTTACTGAAGTGGTAATGTTATCAAATACATTCATTAAAAGACAAATTAAATAACCAGCCCAGTGATGATGTTTAATGCTCTATTACTTCTTAATTAAGTTTGACCATGACGCACAACTTCTGTGTAAAGTTGTCAAGACCTTTATACTACCAAAGTGCTTGAAGTGAAGCACATTTCTCTTGACTGATTTCTCCTCTGCAGCAGACACTCCCAGCATCCATGTCCTACCACGTACAGCTAAAACAGCTGTACTTGCAGAACTTAGGTCTAGATCAAAGGCTATTTCAACAACCACTTTTCACAAACAATACTGGAATTGTGCTACTGTGTCACAACTTCTGTTTAAATGTGCCTCTTCAGTCCAGATATGGCTGAAGAAAATCATTAGATTATCCTCCAAATTTGTATGTTGCAGAACAGCAACCATTACCATCTTTAGATTTGAGAAAGATTCCTTCATACAGTGCTTTATTTAGAAGTGTATTCTTACAGTTTTACTGAAGTGTAATTCATGTTTATAGTTTTGTTCCACTGAAAACTACACTAAGTATCCAGCTACCAAGTATCACACTTCAGTTATGCCTCTGCTGTAACACAATAAGGTTAGACTGACATCTGTAAAACATGATGGAATTTTGCCCTTCATTTCCAGAAGACTCCAATTAATAATATTCCTAGCATCTCTTAGCAGTGCACTGTCCTGGCTAAAAATAGCTGAAACAGTTTATTAAACACAGTTTCTCACATTAAACTGGTGATCAAAAACCCCTAACTTCAATCAAAAGCTCTGCAATAGAACACTAATCTTCTTTTATTCTTTAGTCAGAAAATATGGTCAACTTCAATAAACAAAGGTTATGCATTAAAACAAAAAATTAATGCAAACCTGAAATACTGTAATAACTTAAAAGACAGCAGTTCTGCAGAAGATAATTTTCCTAGCTCACAAGTGTTCAAATTTCTAAGCCATGACTACAAAGCATAATATAAAGAAGTTTTATACAGTGTGTGTATATATATATGTATATATGAAGTATCTATATTTACTATAAAACAGCTATTGGCTTTAACAAAGTAATCTGGGTTAAACGAATAATATGTAAAATAGGGTGTGTGTGTTCATATGTAATATAGTGCATGTGTTCATAAGAAAAAGTTGCAGATTTCTGCTCAGACTGAAAAGTCAGGAAGCCTACTCATCACAGTTCCTACTGTTTTTCAGACTTCTCAGCTACTTACACAACAGGCAAATTCCAGAAGTACACAAAGCTTCTCACAAGTATTTTAAATAGATGCAGATAACCTCTGTACTTAGCTACACTTCTATAGAAACATTAATTGTTTTTAAATCCTACATAAATGTTATCAGCTTTCAGCAAGAACATTATGCATCAACTGAAATGTATATCTCCAGTTGCAGTTGTATTAAAGAGTTCTAATGAAAATGTTCACATAAGAGTATCACAATTTTCATTGCACATTAAAGAATTCCACAGGCTCCAGTTATATTCAAAATTAAGAAGATGCCAGTATGCTAATTTTCTAATTTGTTAAAGGAATGCATTTTTACTTCACACTGTTTGTTTACTAAACGTTCATGGTCAACCTTGATATTAATGTGACATAGCAATACAAGGCTTTGAAAACACATTCAAAAAGCAATCTAAACTGCCTTCATGTTATTCAATGCTGCATTTTCTTGGACTAAAATTCTGTGCGTTAGACATGGTCACCAACTTTTAAACCCAGTGAACCATAAACTGGCAATTCCTGAATTGATCACTGAATTACTAACAGAAGAACATTCACATACAGTATTTACTATAGATGTCCTAACCAGATGTGATACCTCAAATATTCATACAACAAAGTCTTTACTTTTGCCTGATATGTTTTGACTTAGCTCATTTCAGTTCTTACTAACAAAAGAAAGAGAATAATTAAAAAAACTATTTTACTTGTTCCAACAAAAAACTGTTGCAAAATGTTGTGGGAGAAAAAAGATGAGTAGAAAAAACAGTTGTGTGCATAGGGCTAACATTTTGAATGAAAGGTCGTATTACTGTCTCTGTGAGAAACAATTCTAAAATCCTCTAGCAGAAATTTCTTTGCAATGCACATCATAAGCTAAATTCCATTTAAAATTTATGAACACTCAGCTTATAATGAACTTTTTTAGTGCTGCCAGTATTTTTGATAGCATTTCTGGTATTCTACAGATGGAAGCAGATAAATTTAAAAGTCCAAAAAAGCTACTGTTCAAGAGTGTCACTAAATAACGCAACAAAAGTTGTAAAAATCAGACTGTCTGACTTACCGCCAACGCTTTAGATAATTTGGTTCTATAGTTATTCAAAACAATCGCAGCAATCTCCTTAAACGGCACATATGCAAAGCCATCTTTAACAAATACTCTTCTGGTTCTAAATAGATCTACAGCATCCGCAAGTCCAACCTGAGAAAGAAGAAAAACACACATTTTGGAAGAGCAAAATAATGCAGTAACAATGTGTACAGCCCTGAGATTCAAGATGGACCAGTAAAGCTTTAAGTCTTTCTCTGTCCTTTAACACTGTCTCCAGTCAAAATGCAAAGATTGTGAAATTACACGCTGACTTTAGGAATAGCTGATCATTATTTTGGTGGAAAAATACTGTTTGCTTACGGAAAGTCATGCAACTCATCGAAATAAGATACTTCAAAGCTCCTATCTACAATTATTAACTCATTTATGTAGCTTTGCACTGCTTACTGATTTGATATTTGAAAATGGACTTCTGCTGGCCTTCTGTTTCAGATGTCTCGAAATATTTGATTCATTTAAGAGGTCTTGCTAACAGATCTGGAACCCAATTTCGCTCCAAAGAATCAGTGGGCTCCATTTAGAAACTTCTTTCCTCTCCCCTTGTTCTCTCACAAAATGAATTCCAGATTAATACAATCAGACCAAACATAGTTTCAGCAACAGATATTTGAGAATGTCTCCATCCTGAACTGTCCTTCAGCCAGGCAAATTAAGTCATTTGTCTGGGAAACATTAAAACTTAAGGCCATTTCTGTGTCAAAGCAAAGGATAGCAGAAGAGGACAGAAGACATGCATAGCAGTTTAAAGCTCCCTTCATTTTCCCAGTCCCTCTCTCTACCCTTATACCCACATGAAGTAGAGAAACTCTCATTAGCCTCAGTTAATTTAGATAGTTGGATTAACTGTTAGTATTGGGTAAACTTAAAACTAGTAACTGCACATTTAACTAAGAGAGAATGAATGCAGATCTGAGGAACTTAGCAATTTCTACTTACCTTATAGAACATTTGTTCTTTTACTTTAGGCAGACTGAGGCCAGGAGTTGATGCACACAGCTCATTTGCCAGTTCAGTTTTCAGGTCTTCACTAACCTAAAATGGAGAAGTTGTTTTAAAACTGCTGAAATACTTTAGAATAAGGCTTTTTTTAACTAACATGAATGAAAAGATTACTTCAACTGTAAATATATCACCAGTTTAGCTTAAAAGGGAAAAAGAATTACATATTCAGCACGTGAACACTAATAATTAATTAAGCAGAAACCAGCAAAACACTAGTGGTCAATAGTGTTAAGCAACCTTCCTCATGAAGCAAAAGGTCAGATTTTAAAATACAATAATTTTAAAAATTAACACAAGAACTGGAAAACATACTTTTTAAAAGTCAATCTCTTTAAAATAAAACTCATGACAATCCTTGCTCATCTCTGAATTTATTATATGCATTAAAAGAAAGCAGGATGAATCAATGGCACTTAGTAAGGACTTTGTCAGATTTTTAACAAAAACATCACTTTCAGCTCATTTTTAAATCCTGACTTTTAACAAAATTATATATAATCTTATATTCATAAATTTAACTTTTTTTTTTTTAAGGAGTGAGAACAATGGTATATTTATTGTCCTCTAAATGTTAGCGCTTTTCCAGGTAAGTTAAGCAGCAATGCTCTATTTAACAACTTGAAGTATTTAACCCAAAATTTCTAGCTTGAAAAATCACAGTGTTACACTTCCTAAAACAAAAACTTAAATACTGCATATACATTAACACACATCACAGAATCATAGAATATCCTGAATGGAAAGGGACCCGCAAGGATCAGAGTCCAACTCCTGGTCCTGCACAGGACCACCCCCAAGAGTCACACCACGTGCCTGAGAGTATCATCCAAACGCTTCTTGAGCTCTGTCAGGCTTGGTGCTGTGACTGCTTCCCTGGGAGCCTGTTTCAGTGCCCAACCACTCTTTGGGTGAAGAATCTTTTTCTAATATCCAACCTAAACCTCCCCTGACACAACTTCAGGCCATTCCCTTGGCTCCTGTCACTGGTCACCACAGAGAAGAGATCAGTGCCTGCCCCTCCTCTTCCCCTCACAAGAAAGTTGTAGACTGCAATGAGGTCTCTCCTCAGTTTCCTCTTTATAGGTTTCTTATATTGTGGTGCCCAAAACTGCATACATTTGCATAATATGTTCTTGATAAAGTATACTGGAAGTAGTCCCTGAGTGAAAGGGATTAAGTGTTAAGAAGCATAGAATACCTTCTCAAAATATAGATGGACAGAGATGTCATCAAAGCATAACGTTGTGAGACACTGCTGCCCATAAACTGCATGTGTGCTCCATTGTCTATGCTGAAGTGATGTAAGGTTGCAGTCAAGGTAGTTCTTAGAGACAAGTCAGGAACCAAGCCCAGGCCACCACATGCAACACATGCCCAGACTCCAAATGCAAGATAAAAAAGACACTTTGTCCTTCCCCTCCACGGAAAGAGTTGTGCATAAGCAGTTTTCTTCTCTGAATGGGGCAGAATATCTAATTTACTGATCAACAATGACATGCAGTTAAATAGGCATTTGAACAAAATTTTTTTCCTTCTCAATTGAAAACCTCGAGAAAATGAAACAAAACACTTTTCTTGGAATTCATAGGAAGGAACCTTTAGTTTCAAACTTGCAGAAGTACCTTAGCAAAAAAAAAGTGATTTGATAGATGCATATGAAATGGCCAAGGCAGCAATGTCAAGAAGGCTTATGGTTACCCTGTCTGCATCTTGATGTCCTCTCTCAGGAAAAACAGCTTTAAAAAATAATCACAGAGACGACAGCAAGACAGAAGAATGTAACTTTGAAGACAGAGGAAATACACAGTAGCATTATATTTCTGCATTTGAAAATGTAAAGCTCAGGGAAAAAGAGCCTGTAAGGAAACCATTTTTCTTTAACAAAGTAGCTGTATCAAAACAATTAAATGAGTTTCTGTAAATGCAACTAGAAAACATTTTCTATAAAATGTTCTCATTACCAATCTACTTCTTGACAGACTTTGAAAAATTCCTGCTTTTCAAACATGACACACTAAACTATATTCAAATTTCACACAAAGCTACTAAAACCCCGCAACTCCCTCCAGATGATCTATTTCTTGTCTAAATCTAAGTCACCATATCAGCCTGCAAGGATGTCTTTCACCTGCTATAAACCAAAGTTCAAATTTGAATTCCAAAATAGTGGCTTCCATTTTTCAAATCTAACATTTTTATGCTTTCTTACTAGAAATTGTTTAAGAGAGCCCAGTCTATCATGTCATTCCAAATCCTCAGTGACAGTGTCTTTGAATAAAAACAGCATAACACATTGTAGTTGCACTACAGTTGCATTATTTCTTCTAGGATATCTTACTAAAAAACACATCAAACCAAGCCAAAGATAGAGTGGGTGGTTTGTTTTTTTTTTTTGCAGAACACCATTAAAACAGTCCAGAGACTGTTTTATAAACAGGTCAACAACACTGGGTGGAGAACAAGAATTTGTTCTTCCAAAACCAATTAGCTCATTTTCATCCACAAAACCACTTTTTTCAGTATTACACTTAATTTCAATGGGGTTTTATCTTTAAGACACACATAATTATACTGACTCCAAACTTCACAAGTTGTCTAGCTCCTTCTTTATTAGTAATTTGACTAAATTGTACAGATAAAAAGTCACAGTGATTTTACTTTTTCTTGCATGTACTAGCAAACAATTTAACATTGTTGGGGTAAAAGTTATCCTAAAGAAACCTCACAAAAAATATGTTAACGGGCCATGACTGAAGATTTGGATAAGACTGTGGACAGTGTTCCCAAAAATAGTTTTATCAAAAATTGTATTTTTAAAACAAACACAAATATTATTGCAAAGTACTATTTATAATATAAATAAATAATACCTATAAAGCTGTAAAATAATTTACATCTTACAGCCTCAAGTATCTTATAGGTTAGACACACCTTCAGCAGCCCTGCAAAGACTGATCCTTGCCTTTTCTCTGAACTTCCATCACCTTGACGTTTTCAGGTGATATAGAAAGAGAAAGAAGAAACAAGGGCATCCCTAGCCCCTAACTAAAGCTGAGAGGCAACTCCAGAATGCATTTAAAAATAGAATTTGCTTCCCTAAAGACTGGAACATGAAAAATAACCTTCTATTGGCATTACTGATTTGACCACTTTCACGTAAAATTGATTGAACATCCAATGCAAAGAAATACGCTCCTCATAGTCTGAAGTCAGACTCAAGCCTTCAGACAGGTTGTGCCTGTATCTCTACATACAGAGCACCATGAAACCATGAATCCCAATTTTTCTCAGTTCACAGAAGCTGGAAAAGATTATTTTTTTCTGTTGTTTTTATTTTTTAAATTATTTTAATAAGAATACTATGGTTTGTCTATTTAATAGTTTCATCTCTAAAATGGCACTTGGAAGAACACATTTCAGTAATCATTAAAACCTAGACACAAAAAACTAAATACAGCATTCAGGATTCTAATCACATCTAGAAAGACAAACAGGTTGCTTAACGTTTGACAGCACTCAGTGAGCCTCACCAGGACCACTGGTGTTGTTCAAAACATTAAAAAACAAACAAAACAAACAAAAAAAAAGCCCAAAACAAAACACAGAACTCTTCTGAGGGTCTCATCTGACCTTCCACACTGAACTGATTCAACTCACCTCACAGAAAACAATTCACTAGTTTTGCTTCCTTTGTTTGTAGACAGTATAGTGAAATGCTGACCACTATGTCAGCCTTTGGTTTGCCTAAGCAAAGAACAACAGGAAAAGTATCTTCCCTTTTCAGTGATAGTGGGTCAGGTAGCATAGCTTGAGAAAATTCAACACTTCATCATAAGTCTCTCAGACTTAGAAAATTTACAAAAATAAAGACATAAAAAGGGAAGACATGAGAGGAAGGGGAAGAAGCAAGTAGTCAGGACAAGCTGTATTATTTCCAGGCTTTTTGTTTTCTACGTGCAGTTTATTCATTGATTTTTAATCACAAAACTGTCCAGGAAACACAAAGACACATAAATTTAGATTAAGATATGAATAATTTAATATGTAAGGCTTAGTTACACAAACATAGTCAGTGAGGTAGTTCAAAAATTTCAAAATAAATTTGATATCCTTACTCTGCTTTAATGAAGAGATAAAGATGCATGCACACATTATACCACTATACATGTGCAACTACTTAATTTTGGTGTCTCTAAGTCTCCCAGTAAGGAACATACATACATAACAACAGTCAACTACTGTAGTAGCTATAAACCTAGATATCAACGGTGTTTCCTTTATCTGGAACAAAAAAGAATTTTAAGAAAGCAACAGTCAATTCTATGACAAAGCCACAATTTGTTTTCACTTTAATCTATCTTCTGAAACTTGAATGATTAAACTAAGAAATTTATTACTTCTTTTGAAATTAAGTACTTTGGGACGAGAATAACCCGCCATGTTTTCTAAAGCACTAATGGTATACGTGTTTCACTGTCTCATTTAACAAACTCTAGCATTTAAAAAATTACCCTACTCCTAAGCCTTTCCAGATACAATTTTGTTTCTATTATGACTTTAAGCATGGAGCTGACTGAAAAATAAATACTTTTAGGTTACTTTGGCAGTAAGGCACTGTTTCCCACTTAGGCATCACTTCTGACCTTTGCTGTCACGTGTAAGACAAGCATTGCTGATTTTCAAGCAAAGGGACAAATATAAGATTTAAGTGGTGGAAAACTAAGATAAAATTCAGAACCATTTCCTTAACAAATGCAAACCTAAGCCTATTTGGACAGTAAAATTAAGGTTTAGACAATTTTTACTTTTAGGCATTTTCACCATCCTGTCTGGGAAAGGAAGAAATATTATTTGATACATCTAAAATGATCAGCCATAAACCCTATCAGAAGAACATTTTGGTTTAAACAGCTGCTACCAAAATGGATAATTATAGTCACAGTCTTTTGGTGGATAGACATGATATTGAGTATCTGTACTTACTAGGGACACAAACTAGTCCCCGTTCTCATTAATCAAATTATGACTTT